TGGCGGGCGGAACTCAGCGCCGTGTCCACGCAGACTACGCGGACAAGCCCCTGGAGAAGCCGCTGAAGCTGGTCCTGAAGGTCGGAGGCAGCGAAGTGACTGAGCTCTCGGGGTCTGGCCACGACTCCAGTTACTACGACGACAGGTCCGACCACGAGCGAGAGAGACACAGGGAGAAAAAGAAGAAGAAGAAGAAGAAGTCGGAGAAAGAGAAGCATCTTGACGACGAGGAGCGCAGGAAGCGGAAGGTAAGGGCCTGGGACAGCGGCTGCGGGAGCGGAGACCCAGGACCCACAGCCTGCCTGGGAAAGGGGTGTTCTGTTTGTAGCGGATCACATCCCTCCGGGCAGCGGTCTCTGTCTGGGCTCCTGGTGATGTCAGGTGGCCCCGCAGTTCTTGACTTCTACGGAGAAGAATTTCAGGGTGAGCCGCAGAGAGTGTCTGGGTCTAGTTCCTTAGGGTGAAAGACACGTTCACCCTGTTACTAAATTAGGTCACTGTGTCCGCCTCACTAGCGGATTGTTCCTCGGCTGACCCCTGCTGGGGGTCTTTACCAGGAAGGGAATCTGGAGGAAGGAGGGTCTTCAGGACAGGCTTGGCTCCCCTAGCATCGTGCTTCCCCTGGAAACAGAGGCAGTGACGAGGTGGATGTGTTTAGATCCCACCTGCCCCTGCTGCTCTCATCCTCTGACTCTGCCTCCCAGGAAGAGAAGAAGCGGAAACGGGAGAAGGAACACTGTGACACAGAGGGCGAGGCCGATGACTTCGATCCCGGGAAGAAGGTGGAGGTGGAGCCACCCCCTGATCGGCCGGTCCGAGCCTGCCGGACGCAGCCAGGCAAGGGTCTCCCTTTTCAGAGACTCCTGTTGTCCAGAGCTGGTCATTGCAGATCAAGGGTTGGCACTGTGTCCTCCTGCTTTGGGAGAAGCATGGGAAGGAAGAGGACCAGTGTTTGCTCTCCAGGGCCTCATACCAGGTGTCTCCTGGATTTGAGGTTTCTGCCAGCATCTTCGAATGTTGAGAGCAGGGGCCTGGCTCATTACCCCTGGTGCCTTTGACGATTTTTCCCCGCTGCACAAGCTAAGAATGGTTTGTGCATTTTTAAGCACTTGTAAAAAGAAACCAAAAAAGGCAGATCCATAGTGACCATCTGTATGTGACTCACAAAACACAGACTTTTAATCTGGACTTCAGGTGAAGTTTGCCAGCCCTATGCCTAAAAATGTGGTTTTATGTGCCCTTACTTCCCCAAGTAGGGCAGAATTAGAAGAGTAGTCCCACACAAATCAGACTCATAAGAGATGTGCATGTCAAGAAAAATGCAAGTCATTACCTTGGGAAGAAGGAATCCCAAGGTCCAAATGGTAGGTCTGAAGTGCCTTAAGGTGGCCCTAGGCCGAGACGTAGAAGTTGGAGGGACATGTCTGTCACTAACTCTTCCATCTGCCGGGTGTGGTGTTTAGCCAGAATTCCTGACTGACCACGTTTTGCATTCAGAAGTCTCTCAGCCTTCGTGCACACGGCTCTTGGTGGCGGGGTATTTGTTCTTACAACAAGGGCTGTCTTCCTGGTCACACATAGCATCCAGTAGTTCCCAGATGACAGGGAAACTGAGGCAGCTGGGCTTTGGGACGTGGGCCACTGGGATGGGAGGAGAGTACTGCTGGAGTCAACCATTCAGGCCACCAGAAACCATGGGAGCCATGCTGGCTCCACTAGATGCAGGTTCTGGAATGCTGGTGGTCCTCTGCAACACCAGTCATTTTGGCTTCAGGCGTTTCCTTTCTCAAACTGGGGCTGGACAAAGGTGGGAAGGCAGGAGCTTTGTGTTGCAGGCATCTTGGGGAGAGGCTGCTTGTTTTGGCAACCCCCCTCACCTGTGCGAGTCATTGCCTGGTAAATGGGGCCCTTGGGGCGGTCATTGCCAGGCATGTTGGGGAGTGGGGAAGGTTAGGTATAACTCAGGTAATTAGGTGGTACCTGTGTCAGGTTAGCATAATTGCTGATGGTGGTTAAAATACTTTCTGCCTGTTTGAGGTTTTGTGCCTGTTCCCCCAGCCCGCCAGCATACCTACAGAGCTGGAGAGGTGCCGGTGCTTTCTTGGACATACCCGGTCTTCCCTTAAGAGCGTTACCATCAGGGATCTGCTCTCTGATTCCTATGTGGGCCCAGAGGTGTAGTTAACAACTGCATCCTCACAGGAACCCCCACGTGGTGTATGTTTTTGTCTCTATTTGCAATGGCGAACCCGAGGCATAACCAGAAGTTGAGGGATCTCAGAATAAGCCAGTGAGCCCAGGATCAACCTCTGTCCAGAGCTTTGTTTTCTTCTGCTTACCTCGTCTAGGAGAGTGGACATGCCGAAGACAGACAAGTGACAGCCCCAACTGTTGACTTAAGGGCTCCTGGGCTTGTGAGGGCTTTTGAAGGCTGATGCCCTGGGTGCCCTTGCCCCCGCCCACCCAGCTGAGAGCCAAGGCCGAGTCTGATTTCCCTTTCTATCCCCAGTTCTTGCTTGAGTGCCATCACATTGGTGCTGTCTAGTGAAGAGATGCCAGATCTTCCTGTTCATCTTATTTTGTTTGTTTGGTTTTTTTTAACTTTCTTTTTCAATTGCCAGCTGAGAATGAGAGCACACCTATTCAGCAGCTACTGGAACACTTTCTCCGCCAGCTCCAGAGGTAAATCTCAGGCGTTTCTCTCTCTCTCTCTCTCTCTCTTTCTCTCTCCCCCCCCGCCTTGCTTTCTGAGTTGAAATCTCACTCTGTTGCTGAGGCTGGAGTGCAGTGGCATGACCAGGGCTCACCTTAGCCTCCCAAGAAGCTGGGACTGCAGGCATGCACCACCACGCCTGTCTAATTTGCTGGCCTTGAACTTCTGTGCTCAGGCAGTCTTCCCACCTCAGCCTCTCAAAGTGAGCCACTGTGCCCGGCCTCCTTGGGCATTTCCAAAGGGCCTGTGTCTGGGGTGTGTGCAGTGTAATTTTTTTTAGAGGTATTATCCCCACTGCACCCCACCCCTGGCAGCTGTGAAACAGGTCCCGCCCCTTCACGGGGTAGATGCGATCTACACGGAGTGAAGCCTGGAGGCTAAGGAGCACAGCTGAGGGGGGGCGGGGGTGCTCACAGATTCCTTCGCTCTGTGTGCTTGGAAGTCACAATAGAGTGGTTGAGAGGAGGTCGAAACTAGAACAGGACAGTGACAGGAGCTGGGACACCTGTGGGGAATTTTTATTATGCAAAGTAACTATCATCTTAAAAGGCATACCTTAATAATTGTTTCTAAGAAACAAAATATGGTCCAGTGTGTGACATTTTCAGATTGTAAGGAGTTTTGTATTATTTAGATACAATCTTTCAGGGTTTTTCTACTTTAAGTGAAGATGTTTTTGCTTTCAGGAAAGATCCTCATGGATTTTTTGCATTTCCCGTCACGGATGCAATTGCTCCTGGATATTCGATGATTATAAAACACCCCATGGATTTTGGCACGATGAAAGACAAAATTGTAGCTAATGAATACAAATCCGTCACGGAGTTTAAGGTATGTTGGCGTCACTTCCTGAAATGACGGTGCCAGCTCCGCGTTGATGCCCAGAGAGGCATTGCCCCATGGCAGCCGCTAGGTGAGCAGCAGTCTCTCCATTGCGTGTGCCTAGCAGCAGTGTTCTGGACACGTGCCAGCTCGGGCTCCCTGCCTGAGGCCAGGCCCTGAGGGCGCCGGCTGGCTGGCAGTGGGGATCGGGACCAGTGACTTGGTGCAGGTGGCACTCTCCCCGTTAGGGTGGCCAGCTTCAGAGCTCAGTCTCCAGCCGACTGTTGCCGCTCATCTGCCAGAGGTGCGTGCTGCAGCAGTTGGTTAGGATACTAGAAGACCAGTGTCTACAGATGACTTGCTTTCATTCTGAGTTACTCAACAAGGCTCTCGTTAGTGGGAGTCTTTTCTGATAGTTGCAGGGAACTGTGTGTTGACAGAATTGTAGAGCCTCTCAGAGATAGTGGCTATCACTGTCCCCTCCTGCCTGGTCCCTGGACTTGTACTTGAAGGAACCAGACTTTCACTCCTCCTTGTTTCTGTTCACATCCAAGTTCTCCCAGAGTGAGCGCAGAGGGCTGGAGAAGAGTGAGACGCTGCTCACAGCACTGTTATGAGGCTCAAGAGGAAGTTACAGGTGCCAGTTCACTCTCCACCGGGATGCTCTCTATGCAGATTGAGGCCAGTGAGCACCTGTGATCGTTTCATTTCTCTGAGCTCTTTTTTTTTGAGTCGGAGTCTCACCCTTGCCTAGGCTGGAGGGCAGCGGCACGCTCGTGGCCACCGCAGTCTTGACCTGCTGGGCTCCGGTGATCCTTCTGCCTCGGCCTTCCAATTAGCTGGAATGACAGGCGCACATCACCATGCCCAGCTACTGAGTTCTTCCAAGTTATTTTTTGTGGTTAGAGAGCCAGATTTGTTTCCTACTAGCCTTTTCCTCTGGGTCTCCTTTGACAGGAATCTAGAACTATGTGCTATTGTCCATTGGGTGTTTTCAACTTGATAGCTTTCTCTCTTTCTTCCAGGCTGATTTCAAGCTGATGTGTGACAACGCGATGACCTACAACAGGCCAGACACCGTGTACTACAAGTTAGCCAAGAAGATCCTTCACGCAGGCTTCAAGATGATGAGCAAAGTAAGAAGCTCGCCAATGGCAGCGAGCCACAGAACATGAGAGCCTGTTCTGCCTGGCGGGTGCCTGCACAGACACAGCAAATGACATGCTCCATCCACCCCACTGCCATGGTGTTGACCCTTCTGCTCTAGGGTAGACGTCCCAGCCGCCCTCTCCCTTTCCCGTGCCTGCTTGTGACCTAGCCGTAACATCTTATTCAGGGTTGGTGGAAAGTTCCAGGTCTCTTGATCTCTAGCCTGGGCGTTAGTGTTACTGGATTACAGCCAGCTTCGTGGGCTTGAGTGGCTGCTCACTGCATCCAGACGGGACAGCCTTGGCCTCTTCGATCTTCCTGAGTGGCCACCAGATCTGTGCTCTGAGCCAAGCCGCATGCGTCATGCATAGGTGAAGTGTGGCACCTGCCGCATGCTGGCCTGTCCTCCCCGCCAGCTCTGAGCCATCGCCAGCCAGTGGGCCACACCCCTTTGGTGCTGAGCCGCCATGACCACCTCCCGCCATGGAGGGTTAGCAGTTAGGCCAGGTGAGGCTGTGGCCATCCCATCCCATCCATCGTCATGGCTCCTTGGCTGAGGGAGAGGTAAAGTCCCTGCTGCTCTGTCCTTTCTGATTCTAGGAGCGGCTGTTAGCTTTGAAGCGCAGCATGTCGTTTATGCAGGACATGGATTTTTCTCAGCAGGCAGCTCTTCTGGGCAATGAAGACCCAGCTGTTGAGGAACCTGTTCCCGAGGTTGCGCCAGTACAAGTAGAAACTGCCAAGAAATCCAAAAAGCCGAGTAGAGAAGCCATCAGGTAAAGGCTCTGCGGCACTGAGTCCGCCTGTCGGAGCTGAGCACCCGCGGTTGGGAATGCGGGTGCCTTATGGGGAGAGTGGGAGCGGGACGGCATGTCCCACAGCTGACCTCAGAGTGGCTATTGAGTGGGAAACATGCTCTGCTGGCTTCCTGAGGTCCTGTCCTGGACCCTTCTCTCGAGGTTCCAGGTGTGGACCCAGCAGCGTTCGGCTGGAATGCTTTCCTAGACCTGACATTTCAGAGGAGGCAACGGTTATCTCCCCGTTCACCTCGAATATGAGGTGCCCGTGTGTGTGGGTAGTGTCACCGTAGTCACCCAGGACCTGGGAACCCTTTGGCCATCTTTGGGGGCAGTTTGGTTGCTCTCTGACCCAGGCTGTCTATGTGCCATCGCAGCCCACAACCATCCTGTGGCCACCAGGACACCTGGGCAGCCTCTCCTGCCACCTGCCATGTGCTGACCTGGGAGAGGCAGCAAATGGCTCCGTGACCTAGTGTAGCTATGTAGAGAACAGTCTTGGTTGTTCCTCCCTCACCCTCCCATGAGGATGAGGCTGGCTGGGCACCATGCTCATGCCTGGCACAGTGAGAGCGTCACCTGTGTGTTGCTGCCTGGGAAAAGATCACAATTCGATTTGAGGTTCCCATAGACTGCCTGTTGCTCTCACACTATGGTAAAGTTGAAATTTCTAGAAAGTCATGGTCTCCACTGTGTCTTGTGTGGAGCTGCAGCCTGTCTGCCCGTGTGCGGGACTCACCAAGTTGAACAGCTGGGGCAGGGGGGGTGCTGCGCAGGCAGGGGAGGGCTGTGTCTGCTCTGGGTGCCTCCCTCGGCAGTGAAAGGGTGCTGGACCTCCAGACCAGCCCCGGGTCCCAGGGCCTGGACTCCCAAGGCTTAGCAGGACCTGTGTGAACCAGGAAAGTGACTCCGTTTCCTTCGGGGGCTCCTGCCTTCTGGGCATCCCCCCAGCTCTCCGCGGGTGCTGGCTGTGTCCGGTCTTGTCCTCGAACTCAAGAGTGTGTGCCGGTGGCCTGGAGCCTGGATTTTACCCTTTCAAACAGAGTGGCTGGGTGTCGTCAGTCAGTGGAGCGCCCGGGGCTTCAATACTCATGCTCCCTGGTGTCACGCAGTCATATGTCGTGGGCTGCATTGCATGGTGACCTGAGTGGGGACTCCCAGTGTTCTGGCTCTGTGCTGCATTTCCAGGGGCCACTGTGCCACAGGGATGTGAGCCGAGCCTTCTCATGGACAGGGCTTGTCATAGGCCTGCAGCCATTCCTGGCTGTTCTGACGTACATGCAGATGTGTGCCCAGGGCAGGAAGGGGCCCTCCCATCTGCTTCTAGAACCTTCCAGAGGAGGGGAAACTCCTTGGGTCAACTGTTCTACTTGAGAACGCCTCCTCTAGGGGAACCTGGGGCCATCTGCCAACGCACATGCCAAGGGCTGACCTGCTGGCCACAGTGTGGGCCTGGTTCATCAGCCTGTGAGCACTGCTTTCAGCCTGCATGAGAGTTCTGTCACTTTTCTGATGGTGCCTCTAGTGACTGACCAGAGTGGCGCCTGTAGCTTTTTTCTTTTGTTGCTCTTTAAAGTGACTGAAGTGTTTAACTGAGTCGCACCTGGTCTGTGGGTCTACTTGGCTCGTGCTTACTCTTGTTCTAGGAAAAGGGTTTTATTTTGTTACGGTTAGGACAGAAAGAAATGCTTGGAGCCGGGCTCGGTGGCTCAGCCTGTAATCCCGCGCCTTTGGGAGGCTGAGGTGAGTGGATTGCCTGAGCTCGCAGGTTCGAGACCCGCCTGGGCAGCGAGACTTCATCTCTACAATAAATAAAAAAATCAGCTGGGCTTGGTAGCGCATACCTGTAATTCCGGCTACTTGGAAGGCTGAGGCAGAAGGATCGCCAGAGCCCAGTAGGTCAAGGCTGCGGTGGCCGGGAGCAGCCACTGCACTCCAGTCTGGGCGACAGAGTGAGACTCCAACTCAAAAAAAAAAAAAGAAATGCTTGGGAAGGAAAAGGGCGTTCCAGGGCTCTTGGCTATCCTGCCCCTTCTGTCCACGGGAAGCATCAGTGGAGGGCCTACTAGGTGCCAACGGGGGGAGTGCACAGTGGGGTGGGCGCCTCCGCCTGACTGGGTGCTGGCTCTGCCCACAGCTGTGTATTTGAGCCAGAAGGGAATGCCTGCAGCCTGACAGATAGCACAGCAGAGGAGCACGTGCTGGCACTGGTAGAGCACGCGGCCGACGAGGCTCGGGACAGGCTCAGCCGATTCCTCCCAGGAGGCAAGGTGGGTCCCACGGCGGTCCTGGGGCTGACCTAGCTCCCAACGCTCAAGTCTGTGTTTTCTTGCAGGACGGGACTGACACAGCCCCGGCACCACCACCGGAGTCAGGAGAGTGCTGGGCTGCAGGGCCCTGGTCAGAAGTACCTGCTATTTGTGGTCCTCCACCAAACTCGGCCCTGGGCCTCACTGCAGTTCCCTCAGAGGCATCGGGGCCTCTAGCAGGGCTGCCCCAAGGGATGTGGCATGCGGGATCTTGGCTGTCACAGATCCACGGTCCTGATGGAGACCCTGCCCACTGCGGGCAAGGCTCTGGCGTCCGTGTTTCCTTCTGAGTGTCTGTGAGTGGGTCTGTGTGGGGTACTTCCCCGAGTTGGGCCTCCACGTGAATCCCTCGTGGCACTGGGGTGGATCTGGTCCTGCAGTCGTGAATCGCCACCATGCGTCCACTTGGCTGCTCTGCCCATCCTGGTATGGCTGGTGGGAGCCCATCCAGGCACCTCTCTCTATTTGTTCTGGCACAATCTGTACTAGACCAGGCACATCCGGTAGAAGTAGAGTGCGAGTCACGTCTACAGCGCCAAGCTTTCCAATAGCTGCTTTGAGAGGGATGCAAGTGACCTGGTAAACCCAGAATTCTACCTCAACACGTAGTCTGTGTAAACTGAGCCGGAGCTTTGCCTTCTCCTTTTCACGTAGTCTTCCAAATGCACATTGTATGGTCTGCAAGGATGTTGAATTGACCACGTTTTGGATATGTCAGATTACTTAAAGCCTCTTAAGATGAGTTTTATCTTTTCCGTATCCTTTTTTTGTAATGCCACTTGTGTTGTGACTCTGTTGGCCGCGTTGGCCTGTACTCTGTGCTGCAGCCCTGGAACTGCCCATTTCTCCAGAGAACCCCTTACTAGGGCTTCTCTTACTAGGGAGCCTGATGGCATTGGATGGAGCCAAGACATGTGTGTACGTGTGTACATGCACTGTGTGCGTGGTGCATGTGGAAGGGATCTGGGGGCACAGTGCTTGTTCCCTGTGGAACTTCTGACTCCACCCAGCCCCACAGGGTGCACTCCACTTGTCTTCCTTCCGCTTCTGTGACTCCCAGTGTCCTCTTGTGCCTGACCTCCCGCCTTTCCCCAGGCCCAGTCTACTTTGTCTGGATTCTGATACCCCTCACAGGATGAGGGGACTACCCCACACAAATACCCTGCCCCGCTCCACTCTGGCAGGTGACCACTTGCTCCCATGTGGATGTCACCCTTGCTTTCAAGCCCCGCCACCTCTGCACGTCAGCCCTCCTCCTTCCTCCCCACTCATCTGCACACAGAGGTGCCTCTTCATCCCGGATTCTCCTGTTGGCCTGCAGACAGAATTGGGGTGTCAGGTGGTGGGTTTTAAGGAGGAGCAGGTTCCCACGCATACTCTAGAGGGAAACCTGCAGCTGCCAAGGTAGTGCCATGTTGTGACCTGTTGACGAGCTGTCTCGGTCCCATTTTGTCCAGGCTTATGTTTGCTCCCAGGTGAGTCCACAGCCCTCCTTTTTGAAGGGGTCCAAGGAGCACATGTGCACACTTTGTTGGTGCAGGGTGACCTCTTGTTCAGGGACTGGCCCGAGAGGGGCCTCTGCCGCTCACAGCAATGAATCGCTTGGTGGCCCTCTGGGTTTTGTCCACACAGCCCCGCTTGTGGCCTCGACTCTGTTTGCTTCAGTGCAGAGCTCCACCGCAGAAGCCAGCTGCCCTCCCTCCCTCTGGGGGCAGCCTCTCAGGTGGTGCTTCCTTCCAGATTGGCTACCTGAAGAGGAGCGGGGACGGCAGCCTGCTGTACAGTGTGGTCAACACGGCCGAGCCGGACGCTGATGGTGAGTGCCCTCCTGGGACTGTGTTCCGCTGCCTGCGTGCTGGCCCTGTGACCACTGCGCCTGCCCCGTGCAGAATGTGTTGCATGTTGAGAGTCCTTGTCATGAGATGCTGTCCGACTTCCTGTCCTGTGCACGCCTCCTGACATGACACATGTGCTGTGGGGGCATGGATGGTTGTCCCGCAGGGCTGGGGTGCAGGTCTGGCCTTGGTCGGAGCTCCTGAAAAGCGGCTGGGAAGCCCTTTCGGCTGGACTTGGCCAAGCACATCGCCAGGTCCCCACGTTCAGTCCTCATCCAAGCCAGAGCACCCCTGGAGCTTGGCAGCAGTTGAAGAAGAAAAGGGCCATTTGGTCCACACGTCAGGGGGAGGTTGAGGACAACGTGCACGCTGGGGCCGTCCGGCATCATGGTACTCTCGCAGTCCTTGTTACTTTGACACTTGCCTGTCCCTTTGAGAAACGGTTCAGAGGCTTGTCCTTTGAAGAAAGGTGTACTCACCGGCATGCTCGGGGAAGCCGGAGCCAGTGAGGGTGACCTTTTGCCTTTCATCAGTCTCACCCACATGCTGAGAGGCTTCCCCAGCCCTAGGTGAGTGGGTTTATCTTGTGTTCTCAGCGATTGCAGAATGGAAGGGGGCTGAGGTATGATCTTCAGCTTAGCTTCCTCAAGACAGTAGGCGTGTTGATCGACACGTAGCCTGGAAGGAGCATGGGGAACTGAGGAGGCCTGCCCAGATCCCATGCGTGGCGTGTGAGGGATGTACTTGGCCTTGGACTTGCAGTCAGATGAGTGCACCGGGCGCAGCACTGCTCATGCCTCTAGGATGGGACTTCTTCCTGGAGGGACGAGCGATCGGCTTGCACACGTCCAGAGTGCTGCCGGTGGTGGCCAAGCAGCAGATTCTCTGTGATGTCCACTGGGACGTCATGAGACGGAAGGGACTGCAGCCAGTTGAGAATGGCCATGTTCTCAGGGGGTCCTGGCAGAGTCCTTTCCCCACCGCACCATGCCCACCACAGCCTGGTGCAGGTGCTCCAGGCACTGTGCCTGATGCCCACAACACGCATGTCTGTGTTGCAGAGGAGGAGGCCCACCCGGTGGACTTGAGCTCGCTCTCCAGCAAGCTGCTGCCGGGCTTCACCACACTGGGCTTCAAGGACGAGAGGAGGAGCAGAGGTACGTCCCTGGTCCCTGGCCCTCAGCTGCGGGGGTGGGCGAGGAGGGGGCGGGCCATCATGCTGCCGATGCTTGCTTCAGGGTGTTCCTGGTGTGCTTTGCCGCCTCATCTGGGCTCATGTTTTGACACTGGTCAAATTAGGGCCGATTAGAGTGACAGGAGTAAAATGGTACGGGGTATGGGTTTCTTGTTGTGAAAATGTGGTGAGCACCCTGGTCCCGCCACGCCTTGGAGATCTAGTCATGGTTACCGTGTGCTACCACCCTGTGCTTTCTGTCCCGAGGCATTTGCAGAAACTTTTGTTGGGGCAGGGAATGTGACCCCGGGCCCTGTCCCTTGTCTACTGCTGCCATCTGCTGGCAACTCCTGCATGTCCCCCCCCTGCCCCCTAGGCCTCTGCTGCTCAGAATGCTCTCTGGTGGGTCAGCTTAGGGTAATGTGGGCGCAGAAACCCACTGCTTTCTGCCTTCCTGCCAACAGGATGGCTCAATGTTCCCACCAGGCCACGCCTTGGCTCACAAGCTTCCTGCTTTCTGGAATATTCTTTCTCCAGCTCTGGGAGTTAAATTCTACTTGTGTCCTATGTTTGGGTCTCCTGTTAAGGGATGCCTTTCATAGTGAATGATCCTCTTCCCTGTGTCAGCCCTCGTTCTGCCTCTCCACCTGGGGCCCCATTGCGTTCACGCCTCGTTTACTGAGACATAACTGGTCTTCACCTTCACAGTTCTCAACTGCAGCCCTGTCTCCAGGGGAAGCTTGGCAATGTCCAGAGAGTTTTGATTGTCTCACAGGGGGTGGGGGTGCTACTGACAGCTAGCAGGGAGAGGCCAGCAATGCTGCTCAGCACCCGGCTGGACCTGGCACAGAATCAGCTGGCCCTGCAGTCATTCTTGCTGAGATGGAGAAACTCTGTGCTCACACAGACCTGGACTCACTTTTCCATCCTCCTCAGCAGAGGCCAGCACTGTGTAGGCTTGGTTCCCAGCAGTGTGTGGGGGTTGGGACTCCCTGGCCGGTCAGTGCCCTCTGCCCCTGTCATTAACCCAGTCGCCATGAAGCTCTTGCTTGCAGGGCTCACTCCCTTGCAGAAATGTGAATCATTTCCTTGTGGTCAGACCGCAAAGGTAAAGCAGGGTGAGGAGTTGATTCTGCTAGGTGCACACTGAAAACTGCTATGGGGATGAGAATTCCGTAAGAATTCTGTAGAGATGGAGAGAGGAGGGACTAGGGTGCTGGCTGCGAGCAAGGGTGGCCCCCCACCCACTGAGAAGTGGGCGGGGCCTGCATTTTGTGTCCTTCCAGTGCGCCTGACATTGTTTCTCTTCCTTTCCTGTCCCCCCTCAGTCACATTTCTCTCCAGTGCCAGCACCGCGCTTTCAATGCAGAACAATTCAGTGTTTGGCGATTTGAAGTCGGATGAGATGGAGCTGCTGTACTCGGCCTACGGAGACGAGACAGGCGTGCAGTGCGCACTGAGGTAGGAGCCCACCACTGCAGTGCTTGGAGCCCATGCCTGTGTGGTACAGACTCCATCCGTGCCCGCTTACAAGTGGATGGGAGAGCCTGCCATGGTGGCTGTCGACACGGCAGCAGAAACAGTCACCATAGTGTTTTCAGTCACCCACTGTCTACCACAGGCCAGTCCTGAAACTCAGGTAACTCGGTCAGGATTTCTAGAAGATGATGATCCTGGTGTAGCTTACAGAAAGATAGCGTATTTAGTCAACTGTGGCATTTGCTCAGTGAGCCTGTTGTCCCATGATTGTGTTAAGCGCAGTAGTCGCTTTTGGGGGCTGCTAGTTGGGCTTCTGTAACAGCGCTGCAGATTGGACTGCAAGTCTGAGACGAAGTGAGGCTGAGCTGGTTCTGGAGGCCCTGCTCTTCGTCTTGTGGGCCACAGCTTCTCCCTGTGTTCTCGCGGGGCCGTCCCTCTGTGTCTGTGTCCTGGTCTCTTAAGGATGCCGGCCACATGGGGTGGGGCCTGCCCTGGTACTCATTTCACCGTGATGACTCTTGGAAGGCCCATCCCCAGGTGCAGTCGCACTCGGAGGCCTGGAGTCAAGACTCTAGGGACCACCTCGGAGGAGGAGACACAGTCCTGCCCATCACAGGGGCTAAAGCATCAGATTAAACTCACAAGTGGAGCGCTGTGCTGCTTCCATAGAATGTTTGTGCGTGTGTGTGTGTGTGTGTGTGTGTGTGCGCGCGCGTGTGTTTTGTTTGGCAGAATAAAAGTGGTCGCCATTGTAGAATTTTAGTAATTTTTTCTGAGAAAAATGACTTTGCTACCCTATAAAAAAAATGGAACCTTTGCATATCACATCCTCATTTTATTCTTAAAAAGAATCCAAGATATATTTGAAAAGTATCAAGAATACTGTTAGCTCTGATAAAATAAATGAATCTCTCACCCAGATTTTTGTGACAAAAAAGTAAAAGTGGAAAATGAGATTTGTGTAGGAGAGAGGATGGTGTCATGACTCGGGGACTGAAGAGCCGGTTGCACCCCCATCCCCTGTGGGTCCTCCACCCAGGCTGGCACCGGGCCTCAGTTCTCCTCATGTTACCATGTTAGTGGCTCGTGACTCTTCAGGGCCACCATTCCCCTGCCATCCAGACTGTCATTACCTGACTGCTTCCCTCTACTTTTACCTGGCTTCGGCTCCCAGCACGCAGCCAGTCCTGTGTTGCTGCCCAGTGTAGACTGTAGGAATCTTGCTTGCCTGGCAGCTGCCGGCGACCACACAGAAGCAGGTTGCGTCGGCCGAGGGCTAGGGGTGGGGTGGGTACATGGGTCGCAGGCCGGGGCCTCTTGGTCCCGAGCACTCCTACCACACACCTGTGGTGTTCTCCAGCGTGTTGACGTGGGTCCCTGCTCCACACAGTCTTGGGGTGAGGGGTTTCTGCCTCCTGGGGGAGCATTTCCTGGGACGGGGTCTTTGCTTCCAGACCAGCAGTCTGCCTTACTCCTGTCTGTGAAGGCCTTCGAAGCCAGGGAGCTCTTCTGAGGCCCTGCTTTATGCTTTGATTCTAGGACTGTGGGTTTTGTTCTCTGCCTACTTTTAAAATTGTAGTCATTCTGTTTTCTTAATGCATTCACATGGCCCAAAAGTCCAGTTGCTACTAAAAGATGCATCCTGGGAGTCCCGCTCCCACTCCTATCCCTTCTGCCCCATCCCTCAGCAAGCATCAGGTCACCAACCCCGAGCACTCTTCACAGTCTGCTGGTGTTTTAAATGCAAAACTGGCCGAAAGATGTGAATACCCTTCTTCACAGAAGTTGACATGGCCTGTGCTTCCATGGTGGAGAGTGTACTCAGGTTGCTCTCCCCCTTGCTGGCTTTTTCTTCTGGAGGTCTTCTGAACCTTTTGGGGTCATGGACCACTTGGAAAATCTAATCAGAAGGGTCCGTTTACTCCCCCAAAGAGCGCCAGGTCAGGGAGGTTCGTGAGGACGATTTGAGGAGGCGGCTGAGGCAGCAGGCTCTCGTGACCAGGGCCACCCCAACAGGTGGGCAGTGAGTTCTTGACGTGAGAACCCGTGGTGTTTTCCAGCATGTTCTCGTGCCTCCCCTCTAGCCTGCAGGAGTTTGTGAAGGATGCTGGGAGCTACAGCAAGAAAATGGTGGATGACCTCCTGGACCAGATCACCGGAGGAGACCACTCAAGGATGCTCTTCCAGCTGAAGCAGGTGGGCTGCTGTAGGTGCAGGCGCCCTGGGCACTCCCAGTGGGAAGGGCCTTCCAGAGCCTGGAGTCTAGCCGGAGGACACGCAGTGGGGTGATCCCTTTGGGTGGCCCTTCTCTGTGTTTCATCGCTGCTATGCAGGTGGACTGTTTTCAAAGGGTTACAGGCATGCATCAGTCCTGGAGCTCTTCTGATTTCCGAGTTCCCAAACCACTTCCATCAACTGTCGTTTCCCTTCACCCTCCAGAGTTTTCTTGTTTCCTGTAGTTCCAATTTGCTGTCTGTTGGTGTGCTCTCTGCCTTTCTTTTCATTCTGCCTTTGGTTTTCAAATTCATTTTCCCTGCATATGGAATTTGAGAGTGGCCTTTTCTCCCTCATAAAAGGTGTCTGACTCACCTTGTTTCTGAAGAGTCTGGTCTTCCTGTCTTTGTTTTCCATTTGTAACCCATTTTCATGTCAGATTCAGAGTGGGCAAACTGCCGCCCTGAGGCCAGATCAGACCTGCTGTCTGCTTCTATGTAGCTCACATGCTGAGAGCACGGTGTTTTCTCAAGGCTGTTGAAAACAAGGAAGAGGAAGGCGATGCTGCAGGCAGTGTGTTGTCACTGAGTCTCGTGTTCTCATGCCTGGGCCCTTGGCGGAACTATCTGCTGGCTGGTGCTCAGGATGCTTCTACGTTGTATCTTCATGAGTTTTCAGTAACTTATTTTCCTTGTGCCTTGGTGGACTTACCTTGTGTTTGTTCTGCTCAACACATATTGACTTCCTTGGATCTGTCAATTTATAGTTTTCATCACATTTGGAGGATTTTCAGCCACTGTATTTCTTACATATGTTGACAGAAGAGCCAAATTCTGTAAAATAGTTAATGAGGTCTGTTCTAAGCCAAATATGAGTGACCAAGGCCCATGGCATAGTCCAAAGAAGTCCTGAGGATGAGTGCCCAAGTCATTGGGTTGCAGCTTGGCTTTATATGTTTGAGGGAGACAGAAGTTACCAAAAAGCAACACAAATTAATACGTGTGCAGTTTACGATGGTTCTGCCTGGAAAGGTAGGTCATCTTGATGTGACAGCTTACAGGTCATAGATGGGCTCAAAGGTGATCTAGCTAGCAATGGGCAGTAAGGGTTACGCTTTGTCCAAAGAGTTTGAAATCAGCCAAGGAAAGGCTTGAGTTCGATCAGCAGGGTTGTGGACCAAGGTTCTTGTGACCAGCTGAGCCTCCAGGTGGCAGCTGCAGGAGACTAGGTGGGCCTCTCTGGTGGTCGCACGCTCCTGGGAAGGGCATCCTCTACGGATGGCTTTCCAGGTCGCTTCAGAGTGCGTCAGAGAATCAGATTTGGGGTGAAGTATCTTGATTTCCTTCGGGGCCTGCTGCCTCTCATGGCTGCACCCACATCAAGCTGGTGTCTTATTGCCAGAGTGTCTGTTTTGTCAGTCTTCTGGCCTCTGTTTTAATGTTGATGTGCGTCAGGAGTGTTAAAACCGCACAGAGGAGTGCTTATAGCGAGGTGTGGCCGACCTCTTTCATGTCATGGCCTGAGAGTTATTTTTCCGGTTTCTCTTGGCTCAGGGGAGGTTCCATTGGTTGAGGAACTTCACAGTTTGTTTTTGGTTTACAAGTGTCACTTTCTGTTCTTGTTTCTTTCATCTTTTTTTCTGGGACTTTTTTCTGGGACATACCTTGAACATGTGTCGGGCATCATGGTCTTATTTACCTAGCACGGATGCTCCATTGGTGTTTTAAGGGAGGAAGCTGGGTTTTTAGTTTCGTTTCTGCTGCTGTGGCTTCAGCTTCACTGGACTGTTCTTGTGCCATGTCCCAGCTGACGAGGCATTCATGATAACGTTCTGTTGGTTTTGGGGCTTGGGTTCCATTGGCTTTTCTGCATGATGTGAAGGCTTTTCTTTACATCTCTAAGCCGTGTCCACAGTATGCATGACAGCTGCTTTTAAAGGTCTTACCCACTCATTCTGTCACCTCTGTCGCTTCTGTTCCTGTGTCTGCAGACAGGTTTTCCTCTGGTCGTAGGTCATAGTGTGCCTTGTGTTTCTACCAGCGTGGGTTGGGTGTGTGTGCCCTGTGGAAGGTCCGGACGCCTGCTGTCCAGTAGACAGACACTAGCCACATGTGGCCACTGTGAAATTCGCCTGTCCAAATTTAGATGTGACTTCAGTGTGAACTGCAAGCTGGGATCTTAAAGACAAATAAACAGTGTATAAATATCTTCTCAGCAACTTTTATATACAGGCTGTATCTTGGGATAAAAATGTTTTCAATATGTTGGCTTAAGTAAAGTATGTTCCAGTTAATTGCAAGGTAAGAGTAACTTGAGTGTGGCTACTAGAAACCGTTGAATTAGGCTAGCGCTTATCTTATATTTCTGTTGGACCAGGCTGGCCTGGATTTCGTGTCTTTTTTAAAGAATACTGACATCCGTTTTGCAGAGAGCTGGGTTTCTTGTGACCTGGCTGGGATGCAGCTCTGTTCTAGGGCGGGTGTAGCCCTCATCCCAAGAAGGGCCCTTCCTGCGCTCTCAAAGGCTTGCTTTTCTTTAGGCTCTGCCCTGCCAGGGCTCTGAGAATGTTGGCTGTGGTCTCGCAGTTGGTTCTTGAGCTCTGCGGAGTCGGCAAGAGCCTGCTGGTCCTTGTAGTTTTCTAGAACTCCTGAGCACAGTGGCCACCTCTCAGGAGCCTGCCCACCAACCCATGAACCCTGCACCTGAGCTTGCTTGCTGCCCTGTGCCAAGGTCACCTCCAGGCGGGAAGCCCATCTACCTGCCATTGCCCACGCCCGCTCTCTGGCCTCACCGTAGGCGGAGGGCAAAACACTCGCTCGTGGCCTGGAGTGGGCATGCTGTGTTGGTTTACTCTCGATCCTGGTCCCGTCACTTCCGTGAAAGGGAACCTGAGTTCCAGAGTTTACAGTTCTAAGTGCCCCGCAGTGTTAAGTGATGCTTAGTGTTAAATGTGTAAGTTAAGGAGTGCTTATGTGAGGAAACAGGAAAATCACGGTACTGTTTATTTTTCTAGTTAAAGGCTTATGAAGTCACAGCGTAAATGAGTCTCAGCAACATTCTGAGCACAGATCTCAGGTATGAAGGAGTGTGTTCAGGTGACTTTCTGAGGAAGGTGCGCACAACAGGGTATCTTAGGCAGTGCTCCTGTCAGTGTAGGGGACATGCGGCCCCACGGCCTGCCACCCACAGCAGGTGGTGCCAGGAGGGGCTCCAGTTGTGCGCTCCTGTGCATGCTGGCCTCTCTGGACTCAAGCCGGTCTCAGGCTCCAGCTCTGGGGGAGTCGCTGGGTATCTCCCGAGAACCCAGGGATCCAGGTCAACGTCCTTTGTTTTGGCCGCCCAAGGCTACAGAAGTCACATCAGGTGTCCTTGGTCCCTTTCGCATCTCCCTCGCCCACACAGCGCTCTCCCCAGCACATGGCCCCCTCGGTCTTGTGGTGCTAAGTGAATGAACGGGCTGTGGGCCAGGTGGCTACCAGCTAGGCAGAAGCCTTGCACGCCTCAGCCTTGGTCCAGGGAGGCAACGTGACTCTGAGGAGCAGACTTCCTGGGGCAGCACATGGGCCATTTTTAGTTCACACGTCTCATGTCAGTGAGTCATCCTTTCTTAGGAAATTGTTTTGGACACACTGGTTTCTGTCCATTTTCTTTGCAGAGAAGAAATGTTCCCATGAAGCCTCCAGATGAAGCCAAGGTGAGTGGTTGGGACTTATAGGTTGGGGCCTTGTGCTCGGGTTCTTGGAGGCATCTGCGCTCAGCGTGGAGCGGCCAGCAAGGAAAGCCAGGGTTGTACTGGGGACAGAGCCTGTGTCTGGTGGGTGCCGTCGCCTGGCCGTGCTTCCCCGCTGCTTTTCTAATGACTTGCAGGGAGGGGTGGAGTTATAGCACCTTCTTCCAGATCCAGAAGCGAGAACTTCAGAGCAGCTGGTCCTGCTGGGTGCTGTCCTCATGGGACATCCTACCAGGGATGGGCAGGGGTCTCTGGGGACCTGCTTGGCAAGTGAGCCTGGGCTGCGTACCTGCCCGTTGGCAAGTGTATGCCTCAGGCAGTTGCAGGGTGGGCTTTGGTCTGGGGTCCCTGGGAACTTTGAGAGGCCTTGACGTACGTCTGGGGGCAGACGCTAGGCTGCAGGGAGCCGGCCAGGGCCTTGGAGCAGGCTGTAGCCTGGTCCTCACTGGGGAAGGAGAGAGCTATGGTTGGTGGTGGTATGAGGTCTCAACACCAGTTTCCTGTTTGGTCATGGTTTCCCTTTGGTCATGGTTTCGTGTTGCGTAGTGTCTTGCCCTGATTTCTCTAACCCCAAGAGGTCAGCACAGGATTGTTTGTTTCATCGTTGGTCTGAGTAGGTTCTTCTTGGTCATAGATTTGTACAATCTCTCATGTACTCAAGCCTGTGGCCCTCTGGGAGCTTTGATGTGCAGGACTTGGGCTTGTCATTTCTGGGGATGGGCCCGAGATGACACGCAATCACAGTGATTCCAGTAGCTGGTACCGAGTAATACCTGGGTTCTGTTTGTGTTGACCTCGTCTTCCTTGGCTTGATCCTTGTCTTCTGCAGGTCGGGGATGCCCTAGGAGATGGCAGCAGCTCTGTTCTGGACTTCATGTCCATAAAGCCGTATCCTGATGTGTCTCTGGACATCTCCATGCTCAGCTCTCTGGGTGAGTTGAGACTACCCTCTCCTGCGAGACTTCCCATGGGGCTCCCGCCTGTGCAGCGATGTCACGAGCAGTCGAGCTTTAGTCCCCACGTGCTCTGGACTGACAGGGACAGGAAGACCCTGTTCTCTCACGTAGGGTCTTGGTCCCCAGTCTTGTCTCCTGACTCCTAGACCCTGGGGGTCTCTACAGTTGCAGTGTCTCCTGTGCTCGTGATTCAGGGCTCGGCTCCTGGACAGCCTGTGGGTGGGGTGGGTGGCCACAAGGGCCAGTGCTTTCCTGGGTCCTGCCTGCGTAGTGGGTCTCTGAAAGAGTCCCAGAAGGACCAGGCTCAGAGCGTCCTCAGCGCTGTGCTTGGGGCTCCGGAGAAAGCCGCCCTTGAGTTCTGCCCCTCCCTGTACTCTGCACGCCGCTTGCTCTGGTATGCGCCTGTGTCCTCTGCCAGACTCCTCCTTGTAAGCACGCAGACAAATGGGGTGTTCTAGCAGGTAGTAGAACCCAAAGAGAGGGACATGAGCACTGCAGTTTATGCTGGTCGGTCAGAAGCACAGGCCACGACCTGGGTCTCGACTGGCCTTGGAAGCTGGGGTCGTCTCGGAGTCTGAGTTCATCTCAGAGTCTGATGCTGCCTCCAGGTTTGAGGCCAGCTGTCACTGCAAAGCTGCCTGGTCGGCATCAGTGTCGTGCTGGGGGTGAGAGCAGGAAGAGCGAGAGTCCCAGTGGTGGGGCTTCCTGACTCGGCCCTGGTTGCCTGGTGTATGCACTTCCAGGTGGTCTGACCTGGCCAGGGGCTGTAGGGTGAGGGCCCTGCGAACCTCAGCCACTGTGTGCAGAGCCCCCAAGCACTCCTGACTTGGGTGTGTCGGCCTGAGCACGTGAAGGTCAGACACAGGCCAGTGGGGCTGTTCTGCTGAGTACTGCAGCGTGGACACCCCTGCCCCTGGCTGGGCCGGCCTAGTGGGCTCAACTGACGTCGGATCATCTCCGTATTCCCACAGGGAAGGTGAAGAAAGAGCTGGACCACGATGACAGCCACTTGAACTTGGACGAGACCACCAAGCTGCTGCAGGACCTGCACGAGGCGCAGGCAGAACGCGGTGGTTCCCGGCCATCGTCCAACCTCAGCTCCCTGTCCAACGCCTCCGAGAGGGACCAGCACCATCTGGGTGAGGCGGCACGGACAGACATGGCAGCAAGTAGTGTGTTGTCAGGGAAAGGCCAGAGGCTCCAGGAGCCTGTGTGTGGCTGTGGGTTCAGGCCCTGGGGCTCAGGGGCCTCCGTTGTGGGCTCCTGCATTGACACAGAGGCCAGTCGCTGCTGTGATGCGTGGGCTGTGCCCGTGCCAGCAGATGGCCTCATGGCCTGGCCTCCAGGCTCCGGTCAGGTGCCACGCCAGAGTAGGAAGCTGTGGGGCTGCCCCCGCAATGTGCTGAGCTGGGCTTTGGGAATCTGTCCAAGCGACTGGCCCCAATGCTGTTCTGCCACACTGTCAGCTTAATACTGGCCTCCATGGACCCTGGTGTGGTGTTTCTCTTGGCCCTCCTTGGCCGGGGCCCTCTTGTCTCAGGATAATCAGGGCTGGCACTGTCCTCCCTGACTAGGATGCTTTGGCCTCAGCAGGAGGGCACCAGGCTTTTGCTTTGTGCTTCATCGGTGTGCATGAGTTGTCCCTTACTGAAGGCTGAGTCATGCTTTCAGCAGAGTGATTTTTGACGTTTTCTAGGAGCTAAGTGGCTACAGTGGCTTGGCTTGGGCTGTCTGAAGAAGGGCTGGTGTTTTTTGTCCTATTGCCCTTGTGACCCAGGTGTCAGCTGTGAGTGCCTGGAGCAGGCTGGGTGGCTGTGGGTCAGCGCAACCCCTGCAGACCCACTTCCCCGGCATGACTCGGGTGGTGGCAGAGCTGCCCTGGGACCCAGGGTCTGTCCAAGGGGCCCAGACCAAGGAGCCCTCTGTCTTGCAGGAGCTGCGCCGAGTGTGATGGCCTAGGGGGCCAAGCCATCCCACAGGTTTCCACAGATAGCCTCCCTGAGGAGCAAGGGAGGGACCACATTCCTCGAGCTGGCTGCCGGGCTTGTCCTGGCTTTGCTGATGGTCTTGATTCCTGGAGTTGCACGTTGTAAACCTGTTGTGTGTTGAAACCCTCTGTTTTTCTCAAAATTGCAGGAAGCCCTTCTCGCCTCAGCATCGGGGAGCAGCCAGATGTCACCCATGACCCGTATGAGTTTCTTCAGTCCCCGGAGCCTGCGGCCTCTACAAAGAACTAACCCGTGGGTAGTCTTCAGTCACTCTTCCCTTTCTTAAAATTTTAGCTTGCACATGCAGAGTTTTTATCATCAGATACAGGCTTGTATTGTGTTCCCTTTGGCATGTGGGAAGCCTGGGGAGGTGGCGACTTGTCTGTGATATCATGTGAGCAGTAGAGAGACAGGGTGGCCATGCATAACCTCTCGAGTCCTGGACAGTGAACTCCCACATCAGGGTGTGTGACCAGTTCACGATATGTGAATAGTGAAGTCGGGGACTGAGGCATGTGACCAGTCCATGGCATGTGAATAGTGAAGTCACACCTCCAGGTGTGTGACCGGTCCATGGCATGTGTGTTTCTGAGCATCGTGAGAGCGTTGTACCCTGGTCTTGCTGAGATGGATGCTCCCGTTTCTGCCTCGTACATGGGTTGCTCTTGGGAGGCTCAGGCTAGGCTGTGGGCCTCATTCAGTGTCTTGCACATTCTTGTTATGCACCTGCGTTTCCAAGCAGGCCTTGGGGGGCCTTATGGGAGTTGGGGGAGCCCACGGGACAGGCTGGACTGAGGGCAGCTCCCCATCTTCTTTTTCATCAGTGAGCCTGAGTGGGACATGTATGCTGCTGGAAGGAGTCAACAGCCTGTGGTGACAGTGACGTACTGGGTGTCCACGACACGACTTGTAGCCGGGAGTGTTTGCCGGATACCCGTGTGCATTTGCAAAATGCCAAAAGCACAGACCTTAGGAAAAGGTTGAGGGTGCCTCTCATGGGTCTTCCCCACAGATGGCTTTGCAACTCCCAGCTGGTAGTGTCTTTGCAGCCAGGTGTCACCCCCAAGGTGAAGTTCAGTGCAACTGTGTGGCCCGGCACAGCCTCTGATGAGATACCTATTTCTCACTTATGGGAATGTGGAGGTGAGGAATCTGTACCCTCCAGAGGTGGGCACGGAGGGCACAGTCATCCTGGGGACACGGTGTGTGTGTAAGGCTGGAGGGCCCACAGGCAGTACTTGGGCCCACACACATCACCAGATGGGGCCACCTCACCAGCCATCACCAGGCACTGTGTGGTGGGGCGCAGGTCCTCATTGGTCCTGGTGAGTGCCAGTGGAAGGGAGCAGAACTACCAGCCTGAATGAGTGTGGGAGCACCTGTGGTCAGTTATGCAGGAGTGGGTGTGCGGCTGGGTGGGGGCAGTTGCCTGGACCACATGCTCGCTGGTGCCAGCAGCAGACCCCACAGTCTTAAACATGAGCTGGGCCTGCTCTCCTGCCTGAGACACTGCCACTCACCACGCCCCTGTGACTACCCCAGGCTTGGGGATGGCGCCCTGGAGGCAGGAAGGCCAGGAGAAGCAGTGTCTACATCCTCGGCCCCAGGTGGGGAGGTGGGCGCACTGCCCTGTCAGGATTCCAGGGACAGGCCTCCCCACCCACAGACGGATGCTTCCTGCAGCCTGGGAGCCTTTGTCTCACTGACGGGCACACAACCTGCGTTCTGTAGCAGGAAGTGCCACGTCGAGTGCTGTACCCCGTGTGCACCAGCCACTGGGACAGGATGTGAGGTTCACTGAACCTCTCTGGAGGTGAGGGCTCCACCTGAGGGCCTGGGCGCACATGTTCCTCGGCTGGTTGTGGGGCTGTCGTTGCTGCCTCAAGATGCACACGGCTCAGAAAACTCAGCCCCAGCTGCCTTGCCGCTCCCATGGAGGAAGAAAAAGCCATCTGACCAACGACCATCTCTGTCTGTTTCCAGAACATTCCACCATCTTAACAAGAAGACCTTGCCCATGGCAGTCACCCCCTCCACCAGTCCCTGGTAGCCACCATCTCCTTCCTGTCTCTGGATTTGCCCATCCTGGGTATCCCATATCAGTGAGATCGTACACAATGTCACTGTTTGTGTCTGGCTTCAGAAACTCAGAATATATATTTTTTTAATTTGGAGTCTCACTCTCACCCAGACTGGAGGGCAGTGGCACACTCACGACCACCCCAGCCTCGACCTGCTGGACTCTGGCGATCCTTCCGCTTCAGCCTTCCAAGTAGCCGGAACTACAGGCACATGCTACCATGTCCGGCTAATTTTTTTGATTTATTGTAGAGACAAGGTCTCACCAAGTTGCCCAGGCTGGTCTCGAATCCACAGACTCAGGCAGTCCACTTGCCTTGGCCTCCCAAAGTGCTGGGATTCCGCTGAGCCTGGCCTCGGCATGTTTTCAAGGCTCATCCATGTTGTCGCCTGTGCCATCATGGGCCTGGGCGCGACCTGTGCCTTGCCACAGACCCTGTGGCTCAGGCCACTCTTGGGACGTGGCCACCGTGAGGAGGGCCTGGGCCTGGGGTGTCACAAGGGGCTGTGCCCGAGGGAGACAGGTCTCTTTACCAAGACTAGTGGGGACTCTTGGTCAGAAAACCTGACAGGACTGGCATCCAGGCTGCGCTGGCCACATGTCACAGGCCAGCCCAACCCGGCTCAGGGTCCTTCTGTCCTATTAACTGCTGACACAGGAGGAAACGGGAACCACAGCTGTTCCCTCGAAGGCTGCCTGGGCCCATGTGCAGGGTGGTCGGATGTTCCACACAGCTCTTCCCTGTTGGAAGCCATGCTTCTAACTTGTCCAGTGAGGCATGGGTGCGTGTGTACACACATGTGTGCGTGAGTCGTATGCTCACCACGCCTGGCTCCCTTGCGTGGCTACTCGCAGGCTGACACTGGGCAACTGTGTCCCCTCCCTTCCCCTACACTGACCCTCCTCCTTTGCCTTTTGTGGGGACTCTGGTGAGGGGGCGTTTCAGGGTCTTGGAGGTGTTGAATTAGAGCCATGGGCAGGTTCACAGATGCGTCGTTGGTCATGATGGATAGGGGCCAGTGACATCAGACACTGCAGCACCACCAAACACATGGGGCGGCTCACAGGAGGGGCGGAAACATGAGCCATCACATTCCACCAAACCCGTGTCATTTTCAACTCCTCTGTGTCGGTGTGCCGTCCAGGGTCAGGATTGTGGCTCTTTTTGTTCTGTGGCCTGAGTCTGCACCATGTGTCATGTTGTCTTCCTCAAGGCATGCATCCCGAGGGAAGGCTGTTTCCCAGGGGTGTGGATGACTGCAGTCAGCTGGGTGTTCCCTGTGCCCCCCATGCCTCCTCCAGGGGTACACAAGAACTGTTGTGTCCCCTGGACCTCCAGTGTCTGGGTCATCACCTAGGGCGTGGTGTGGCTGCCCTGTGGGCTCTGTGGGATTGGGGACAACATGGTCTGGCCTGGGCAGCACATAGACAGCTCTGGGGCCATGTGTCCCTTTGGGCCCTTGCTGTGCTCTGCTGCAGTTTCTGGATAAGAGATGGGTGCAGCAAGGCCTTGGCCTGCCCATCTGTCCATGCTCCCAGCACCCCTCACTCCTGAGACAGGCCACCCATTCAGGCAGCGCTGCTGGGCACTGGGCAGCCCCAGCCACCACTGTAGCAGTTGCCGTTTACAGCACTTTGGTACTCAGTGAATATGTCACCTTGAGGGTCTGTGCATGCTGTGTGGACTGAGGCCCCTCTGCTCCATCTGGGGTGGACCCCCCTGGTGTGCGCAGAGCTTTGTCCCTGGCCAGGGCCATGGAGGGAAGGAGAGGCAGGCTGGAAGCTGCAGGTGGGCTGAGGGGCGTGTAGCCAGCACCATGTACCTCTGGTCATGCCCCTGCAGGTCACCACGTGTCTCGGGAGCAAACAAGGGGAGGTGGTGGGACCCATAGTGGAAGTAGCATCTAGCTGGGCCGCACGCCTGGCCCAGCAGCTCCGTCTAGCATCGTTCCAGCCATGGGCCACACCATGGCTTAAAATCCCACAATCGGCATTGTCCCACGGGGCGCCTGGGATTTGTTGCGGATGTAGACACTGAGGCAGGTACCTCGTCTCCTGGCTCTGCCCCAGGCCCTCTTAAGTGCCGCTGAGCCTCCCTGTTGGCTGCTGACCCCGGGCCCTTGCTGGCCTCTAGGTGCTTGGGCCCAGGAGAGGCTGGCGCTCAGCTAGCCCTCCTCAGCGTCCAGAGGCCAGTGAGGGTGGAAGGGTCGCATGGCCCACGGTCTGGACAGGGCACAAGTGTGCGTACAGGTTGTATCGTGATGGGGCGTGTACAGTGGGGGTGCCGTGGTTGTTTCCCCTCCAGAATGCAGGCGTTAGCACCTGCAGCTGTGTGACATGCAGGGGGTGGGGCCGTGGGAAGGCACGAGGCCAGAGGGTCCTTCCCAGTGAAAGGATTAGTGCCGGCAGAGAAGGGCTGCGCAGCGTCCACTCTCACCTAGTCGCCTCCCGCCCGTGAGGACACAGCGCCCTTCCCCTCCCAAGGTCGCAGCAGCAGTGAGGTGCCATCTTGGAAGCAGAGAGCAGCCCTCCCCAGACGCCACACTTGCCCATGCCAGAACTTGGACTTCCAGCCCTCAGAACGGCGAGAAATAAATTTCTGTTCTTTAACATCACCCAGGCTCAAATATTTTGTGGCAGAAGCACCGAGGGGCTGAGGAGTGGGGTTGTGTCTGTGGAAGCAGGTGGGGGTGTGTGACCCGATCTCTCTATGGAAAAGGGAGCATCAGCACCAGGCCGCATCGCCTCTTGAGTCAGGGATTTGCTCACTCAGACCTAGTGAGTCAAGGCCAGACGGCCAGCCCCATTCACTCTCACTTGTGCTTCGTCTGTGCCCTGACATGGCCAAGCTGCCTGGAGATGGGATGCCTGGCTGTGGTGGACTCTGGGCAGCAGAGCCAGACACAGCAGGTTCTGGTCGATATGGCCCCTGGCTGTGATGCCTGCCTTGGGGTGGCACCCAGGAGGCCACTGCCCACTTTCCATCCCCACCACCAGAGGCAGCGTTAGCACCTGGCCCACATGGGGGGTTTTTAGAGAGGAGTCCCACAAGTGGGAACTGGAAACGTCTTGAGCTGAAGATGGAAATGTCTTGAGCTGAAGATGGAAGGAGGAGGGAAGACAGCTGGACACAGGAGAAACTTTCCTAGTCAAGGTGCCTCCCCATTCACCCTGGAGTGTGCACGTGAGGGGACAGGGTTGAGCTGACTTTGGCTCCCAGACTTACCTGCGGGAGTGGCCCCTTCATGTGACCAGGGAGCTGCAGCCTCAGGTGGATGTCCACCTGCTGCTCCTTGAGTGCAGCGCAGAGGGACCACAGCCCTGCTCCAAGCACAAAATTGCCACCGGGTCAGGAGTGGTGAGGAAGGCCTTGAGCAAACAGGGCTGCCATGTCAGGTGCGTTGAGGAAGGTTGGGGAACATACCTCAGTCACCAGGAACTGTTGAAGCTGGGATCAAGGAGAACTACAAGCTTATGACTTTTCTGTTAAAACACCTTGCAGTAAGTTTTCTGGTCACAGCCTAGGACCATGTGACATGGATTCAAGGGTGGGTGGTGAGCACCTCTGCATGGAGTGCCCCGTAACCCAGGGAGAGTGGCTACTCCTGCCTGTCCTGCACTGGGGTCTGTATCACAGTCCCCTCCCTCCCTCTGCCCCCTCACTGCCCCAGCCTGCTTTCTTTCTGTACAAGCCCACCACCACCACGGCTTTATGAGGCTTCTTGAGTTCGCGCTATGCTGCCAACCAGGGAGACTCATGTCTCACTCTGGCCTATGATTAGTGAGACTTAGATGCTTTTGTCCTCTGCTGTTGAGCTGGACCTGAGATTGGAGTCGGGGAGGCTTTACATGGGCAGGGAGGGAAGGGGGTGCTTAGAATCTGCTCTGACCAGGGACTAGTGAGCGTTGCCTCTGGACTCCTTAAGAAGGTCAGGACCAAACAGCCTAACAAGCTATCAGTGACTCAGGCACAGTAAGCACTGCCTGACGAGGGGTTTAAAGAGGGTGTGTCCACGGTGAGGACTTAAAGAGGGTGGGAAGACTCACAAGGTGGAGGCCTTGGGCTCCTCAGGAAGAAAGGGCAGGGAGGCACAGGATGACGAGGACAGATTCAGGAGGCGACAGTGTCAGACATGGGGACGAGGACAGACTCGGAGTCCACAGTGACATGGATGGGGACGGGGACAGATTCAGGGAGGCCATGGTGTCAGGCATGAGTGGGGATGAGGACAGACTCGAGGCCATGCTGTCACAGACATAGGCAGGGATGAGGACAGAAACAGGAGCCCATGGTGTCATGGAGACACAGAGGTGAAGACAGACTCATGGAGACGTGAGCAGGGCCAGGAACAGACTTGGAGAGGTTGTGGTCTCCCAGAGACACAGGTGGAAACAAGGACAGACTCAGGTCACAGTATCATGGAGACATGGATGGGAGGAGGACTGACTCACAGAGGCTACATCGTGAAGAGACAGGCAGGTTGAGGGCAGACTCGGAGGCCAGTGTCACAGAGACACAGATGAGGACATGGGCAGACACTTGGAGATACAGATGAGGACAGACTCAGGGAGGCCATGGTGTCATGGGGACACAGGGATGAGGGCAGACTTGCAGAAGCCACATTGGCAAGGAGACACGGGGACAAGGACAGGCTCAGGGAGGCTATGTGGTAATGAAGACACGGACGGGGATGAGGAGAGACTCAGGCCACGGCATCATAGAGACATGAGGGAAGTGGTAGACTCACAGGCCACACCATGGAGACACGGACAGACTTGGAGGCTGTGGTATAGAGATAGGGACAGACTTAGGAAAGCCATGTGTTGTGGAGACACGGGCAGGGGTGAGGACAGACTCAGGAAGACCATGCTATCACGGAGACGTGGATGGGCACCAGGAACTGGGAGGCCAGGGTGTCACAGAGATGTGGATGGGGATGAAGACAAACACAGGCCCTGTCATGGAGACACGGATGGGGACAAGGACTGACTCAGGGAGGCCCCGGTGTCGGACATGGACAGGGATGAGGGCAGACTCAGAGGTCATTTTGCCATGGAAACAGATGGGAGCAAGAACAGACTCGGAGGTCACAGTGTCATGGAAATGGGTGGGGATGAGGACAGACTCAGAGACCACGCGACATAGAAACACAGATGGGGATGAGGAGGCCATGGTGTCACAGAGATGGAATGGGATGGGATGATGACAGACCCAGACCATGGTGTCACGGAGACAGTTGAAATGAGGATGGACTCAGAGGCCACGGTGTCAGAGACATGGCTGACATGAGGACAGACTCAGGGAGGCTGCTGCGTCTTGGCAACAGATGAGATGAGGATGGACTCAGAGGCCATGGTGTCATGGAGATGTGGATAAAGTGAGGACAGATTCAGGGAGGCCACGGTGTCATGGAGACAGATGAGATAAAGATGCACTCAGGGAGACCGTGGTTTCATGGAGACACAGATGAAGTGAGGACAGCCTCAGGGAGGCCATGTTGTCACGGAGACACGGGGACAAGGACAAACTCAGGTTGGTCACAATGTCCTGCAGACATGGATAGGAATGAGGACAGACTCGGGGAGGCCACAGTGTTTTCAGACACTGCTCGCACAGGAGTGGGCGAAGCATCTGTGACAGGGACCCCATGGACTTGTTCCTGTGCTCCATGTGCCAGTAAGGGTGGAGGAACTGTGGGCCAGAGAGTGGTGTGCAGGGGCTTCAGCCTGTCCCAGGCCTGACTCACCTTGACTCCTCTGGGGCCACTGTCCGTCTGAAACAGTGCCCATGGCCTGACCCCAGAGTTGGAAGTCTTGGATGTCAGGGCCACACATATTCCCCTCCTGAATCCTGAGAGGACTGGTTTATGGAGTGAAGAAACAAAGCTCTCCTCCAGCAGAGGTGCACCCCATGGGCCACGGTGGCCATCAGTGAGGAGTCCAGGGCAGAAGATGAAGCGTGGAAACATGGAGATGGAACGCGAGTGCAGAAGCCTGAGAGGACTGCGTGGCAGTGTCATGTGTGTTTGGTGGTGTATGGTGTGTGTGTGCAGTGTGTCGTGTGTGTATTGTATGTGTAAGCGTGTTCTCAACAGCAGCAGTATCAAAGTTGGCATCAGGCCTGGTGGGAAGGAGGTCCCCCCAGCAGGATGGGTCAGTCTGGAGGAAGATGCTGTGTCCCTAGAGACCCTGTGCGGGTCATCCAGCTGTGCAGGCAGAGGAGATGGACAGACAGTGGACGGGCCCACCCGGCACTGCTTTGATGGCCTTGGGTGGGCTCCCCGGACACCCTCACACCCTCTGGGCTGTCCTGCAAGGGACTAGGGGGAATGCCTGCTCACATGGTTGAGTGGATGAATGTCCAGCCCTTCCCAGGTGCCTGGTGTATTCTCTGCAGAATCCCTAGCTGCCATCTGGCAGCCTGTACCAGAGCTGTGTGATCCACAGTTGCTCAGATTTGGTTTCAGTTTGGATCTAATTTAGATTAATTTTAAATTGACTAGGTCACAAAGTTCTATCTGTGATAATTTTCTCAGGATACTTTTCATATTCTATGGAGTAAATCTTTGGGTGGTTGTTTTTAGGAAAGATTCATTGTTGGCGTACTTTGAATAGTCACACATCCAAGAAGTCTTCATTTTTCTGACAAACTTTATGATTTGGTGAGGTCCATTTTAGGTTAGGATGCTCTCAGAACTTGAAGGATTGCTCTATGTTGTGTTTTATAGATAGATAGACAGACGGACGGACGGACATATAGATATGTGTCCAAGACTAGTAGAATTCAGAGGTGTCCATGTGTTGTAATGACTCTTTCTCCCTTTTTTCTCCTGAGAACATCTATAGGGTCTCTCCACACACACAGCTCCTGTTTCCACCAGCACAGATGTCCCTGTTGTTCCCATCATCCTTCCTGCTGTGGTGCACACTTGAGAACTAAAGACTTCTTACAGTTCGACATGGTTTTCTTTTTCTTCTCTTACCTTCTCTTCACCTCTCCCTTCTGGAAATCCCACAGATGGCCATTGTGTCTTCCGGTTCAGTTCTCATGTCATTCAGCTCTTCTGCCGTGACAATCACTTCTCCTCCCTGTTCTAAGTTCTATGCTAATTCCTTGATTTGAGTTTCCAGATCACTAATTTGACTTTTGGCCACATCTTTTCTGTTAGTTGGTGCTTTCATTTGGACTCTGCTTTTGTTGGAAATTTTGTTTTTAAGACACAAGAGTGCCTTTCTGTGCTCTGATGCCTTCTTTGGCTCCTCGGTCTTGTTTCATAACTGTGATCAACTCTCAAGTATCCAAGACACACTCTTGTGACCCCAATAAACCCCGGCTCTTGTGATCCCATATCTGCCTAGGGTCACAGTTCAGGGATCCAGGAAGGAAAGAACACTGGTGGACACTCATGACTCATGAGAAAGGGGGCTTTTAGAATATTTCTCAACACCTCTGTCTCTTCCCAAAGTAACACATTATGTCAACTGTATTTTCTGTGTTTTCCAAAGGGCCAGCAAAGGCTTTGCACAAGGCATGCCGCGGCATTGTCTTCTGGAACTCCTCTTGAGGGCACTCCTAGTCCCTCAGAGTTCCACCTTGCAGTGACTGTCACACATT